AACATCACTGCAAAGCTTGTGGAACATTGGCGGAACATATTTTGAATTTGACCCAAAACATTTTATATCTAATATGCAGAATGAATTTGGACGTTAAACATGGAACTGATTTATTTGATTTCCTATTCCTCACCATTCAGATGATTTCTTGCTCCTCCTCGGAGCCTCTCTGCAGCTGCAGGTGTTTGAGGAGGAGCTTCAGCCGTCCGTTCAGATCCTCGCAGGAGACAACTGTGAGCTGGATGGAGAAGACCAGCAGCTTACTGATCCAATCAGACAACTCCACCTCAACAACGTCCCTGACTTCATGATGTGCCGGTAAACTCCACCCACTGCCCGTCTGTCTATCTGCCCGTCTGTCTGTCTGTCTGACCTTGGATCTCTGTATGTGCAGGTCTTACCTGGATATGATGAAGGTGATCATCTTCAGCTACATGTTCTGGTTTGTTCTCACCATCATCTTCATTACCGGAACCACCAGGTGAGTGGGCAGAGCCACAGGAAAAATCAGTGCTCCTCAAAACAGAATCACGAGGGATAACCTCTGACACGTTTCTACTTCCTGTTCCAGGATCAGTATCTTCTGTATGGGTTACCTGGTGGCGTGTTTCTACTTCCTGTTGGTGGGCGGAGACCTGCTGCTGAAACCAGTCAGATCCATCCTGGTGTATTGGGACTGTCTGATTGGCTACAACGTGTTCGTCATCACCATGAAGAATATTCTGTCGGTAAGATACATCATCATCATCACCATCACTCATCCACCACTCATCTCACACCAGTTCTCTACGTCCATCCCGCCATCCCATCCACCCACCACCATCTGCACCCTCCGCTCAGCCGCGCGCACATCAATACCATCTCATCCGTCGTCGTTGGTCTGTCCGTCGGTCGTCGTCCATCCACTTCTGTGTAACTGTAGACATTTACTCTTACTCATCTAATAAAATTCATTAAGTGACATTGTTCTACCATTCAAACATACATACTACTTTGATAACAAATCGGATTCCCGAGCTATTTGTTTATTTATGGGCAAAAAACCCTTAAGTTAAACAGTCTTATTTCAGAGGCAAAAACTTTCCTTCCCTCAGTGTTATAGCAAAATCAAACAAAATGTCCCTCCAGGTTTCCACGATGTTACAATTTGACAGGTGCTCTGTAAAGTACAACGTTACTCTCCCCGTCTATTGTCTGACAACCACCTTGTGGCATCGTTGCACACAGGAGCCCTTTATGAAAGACCTGTCA